CGGGGAGGCGGGCTGGGCTTCCTCACAGCAGAGGCAAAAGCCAGAGTCGGCATGTAGGGACGTATGCCTGTAGAGAGATGGGCCTGGCCCACTACCCAAAGCCAGACAGAAGGGAAACACCGGTACAGTGCCTCTCACGACACAAAGCCGAGCCCTAGGGAAGGGGTTCACCCAGGCAGGGAAGGAGAACTGGCAACAACCTCCTGAGTGTTACCTCCTTTCTGTGCTCACAGCTGGAGGATCAACTGCTGTCCTGCAGGAAGCCAGGGTCCCCCTCATCGATGTCAACCTCTGTAACAGCAGCCAGTGGTACAGAGGAGCCGTCCACACCCACAACCTGTGTGCTGGCTACCCGCAGGGCGGCATTGACACCTGCCAGGTAGGCTCACCTCCCCTTCCCTCTCTGCAGGTTCTCGCCCAGTGCCCCATCTGTCTCAGAGGCCGGGGACTCTGCCCAGAAAGCCCATCCGGTGCTGCTGGCAGCCCGTAGGCCCAGATCCCAATCCTGGAACATCCCCCTTCCACACATCCAGCATCACAGTGCAGAGAGGAGAGAGAGCACACCCTGCCTTACAGGCCTGTGGCTTCTTCCTAGAAAAGTTTCTGTAGGCTCCAGCAGCTGCAGAGCCTTTCTGTGCAGTGAATACAGCGCTGGCAGGTGCTGTGGGAGAGAAGCAGCCAGCCCTAGTGCTGACAGTGGCCACCTAACACCCCCTTCATCCTCTCTCCTCCGCTGCAGGGTGACAGCGGTGGTCCTCTCGTCTGCAAAGATAAAAATGCTGACTACTTCTGGCTTGTTGGAGTGACCAGCTGGGGGAAAGGCTGTGCGAGAGCGAAACGGCCTGGAATCTACACCTCCACTCAGCACTTCTACGACTGGATCCTGACACAGATGGGATTTCGCTCAGCAGCAAGGGCTTCTCCAACATCAGGGGCATGGAGTCATTTTCTCACTGCCTCAACCCCTTATCAGAGGCCAACACCAACACAATCGGGCAAGTTTAGCTCCTGCCCCTTTCCCCTTGGGAAGCTGGTGGAATTCTTTTCTCGGGCGCAGGAGCTCCTGCTGTTCCTAAAGGAAAAAAAGGCTTGAGCAACAGGATGAAGAGGATCCAGTGCAGGCTTGCAGCGTACCACGACCATTTCTTTCTGGGGCACTGCCTGCTGAGCCAAAGGCAGCCTCAGTGTCAAAGGCCTGCTCCGTCCTGCCCACGCTCCTCCGAGCACACACCAGTGCTGAAGTTGACACAGTTCTTGAAATAAACTCACCAGTTTTCACAGCTAACCATACTTCAGGCCAATTCAGTCTCCAGTGCAAGGCAGGGACTTCCATGCCTGGCACCTGCACAATGCGGCTGCGGGCAGACAAGTGGGGCACAAAGGGAAAGAGCCACAAAAGGGGCCAAAACTCTGCCTGGTCAGAGAGGATGATGCTTAGAGTCACCATGGGATGGAGGAGACTGGCATATCATGGCTAGAAAGAAAAGAGGAAAAATTGACGTGACATGCAGAAACTTTCGGGTATGCATTAAGGCACACAAGCTGATGATCTGGGCCTGGCATAAACCATAGCTAACTGAACATATCACGGGATAATTCTGAGCATAACAAGAGAAATTACCGACCATAGCAAAGTGTGAGAAGCTGAGAGGAGTTACAGTGCCATGAGAGAGAGCCAGGGTTTGCATGTGGTTAAAGGGAGAATTATGTGAGAGGTGGCCACACTTCACAGATACATTGAAGGAATGGTTGGGGTCATTTTGGGGAGAGGAGTCTGGCAGGGACAGCAGTAGCCAGGAAACCACATCAGTAATGCCACAGAAGTCCAAGGTGATCTAACTAATGTCACCTGGGACACCAAATCTGTTCACAAGCCTAGCTAACCTGGGAGCAAGGGGGAAAAAACAATCACAGGTAGGTCCCTCATTTGGGAGGACACAAGGGTGGAGAAAGGGAGCACTCAAGGCAGGTGAGTGGGATATAAAAGCATGGAAAATGGAGAGAAAGGGGGATCAAGGAGCCAGTCACCCCTAAGCTGCTAGTTGGATTGCTTGTTTGGCTGAGCCTTGCACGTAACCACCACAACCCGTCCTACCTTCTTGTTGAGAGTGATTCCAAACCTTTCTCTGTGCGGCTCCGCTCTGTCCCCGGGGTGGGGTGGGCCCAGAGGCCTGGCTGCTAGCAATGGCAGGAGGGAACACAGGTCGGGGGACCCCCCAGTTGGAAACACCCAGTGTCTAGGGCCAGCGACTGGTGGGAGCGCTGTGTGCATGTGCAAGTCACTGGGAAACTTGGAGCTGGACTAGCTCACAAGCAAGAGGAGACAGACCTGAAAATACACAAAGTCTGTGCTAATTACTGGATAAGTAAATTGACATCCAGCCCCAGATTTGAATTCCCATGCTAATATTTAAGGGCCCCATGAACATGCCGTGCTTGCAAATTTAGGGAGTGATGTGTGTGTGTGTTTCACTACTGAACATCAGCCCTGTTCAGCTGAAGAGGAAGACGGGGACTGGGTTGTGCTTTTTGTGTTAAGCGGGTGCTGGTAAAGGTGCTGCTCTATGTTAATCTGTTTTGCTATTCATGCCAGTGAAGTATGTGCGCATGTTCTTGAATGTGATGTGGCTGTTTGGAAGACAAACTAACTATTGCACCTGTGTGTGGGAACAGCAGTCACATCCATTGGACTGAGATGGGAGAAACCTCCTGGGAATGAGTCCTCCCAGTTCAGCTCCCGATCTTCTGCAAGGAGAAATTCTCTGGGAGGAACATGGGCTGGATACAGTATGCACAGAGTGCACGCACACAGACACACACACATGCACATGCACACACAGCATGTACACAGTACAGGCACCAAAATTGTGTGTGCACACACACTACGTTCACGCCCAGGGTGCATGCGCGCGCACACACACACACACAGAGTGGAGACACGCATGGGGGTACAAACAGAATGTGCAGTGCACACCTGGAGCAGGTGCACCCCCTTACTCCAAAACACACCTCTTGAGCACAGTGCAGTGTGCAGTGTTCACATACACACAGAGTGCATGTACATGCATACCTGGCTGCGCACGTGTGCACACATGCACACACACACAAAGCATACACACACAAGCAGTGCATGCCCACCCTGCAGTATGCATGCATGCAGAATGCACCCACCCACACACCCCACATGCATACACCAGCATGCACCCCCTTATCTGCCCACATACACACTCAAGGCATACACCCAATGATGCATGCACACGTCGAATGCACCTCCCACGGGGGCACATGAAAACTCACTTGTCTATGCATGCACGCACACATGTCCACGCACGCATACACATATGCAGGCATACACACGTACGTGCATGCATACACACTCACAGAGGGAAGTGTTGCACCCACACAAACACATAGCCTGTTATCACCCACATGCTCTGGAGCTGCTTGCATGGATGCAGGCTATCACACCCACTCCTGCCTGTTCCCTCCTGTGTTTGGCCCACACGTCTGTCAGTGTGTGCTTGCTTCCACAGCACTGCAGAAGTCGGGCCTGTCCCTCCACACCCAGCTGCACGGACACTGTTCATCTGCGTTCACTGGCACCTGTGCACGCTGGGGCAGTCACAGCATGCCTTGCTCGGTTTCCTGCAGACAAGTTACCTGCCCACCGTGCACATGGTCCCCACACGTCCTGCCCTGTTCCTTGTCTGGTCTCTGAAACTGTCCCTGTGCCGTGCCTGCTCCCACCCCAAGCTCAGAGCCCTAACTGTTCTCTCAGTGTCCTGACTGCCAGCCCCCAGCGCCCTGATCCCTGTGGCCAGGCACCACACAGCAAGCACTGCCATGCCCTACGAGCAAAGTGGGCTCCATGAATTATGCAGCAGTTTTGCCTCCTGCTGCAGCACCAGCCTCCTCACTCTGCCTCTTGGCCCTGAATAATTGATGGCAGTGAGCACAGCAGCAGCAGCAGCAGCCCCAGCATCCTTCTTGTGCCAAGGGCCAGGCCGTTAGGAGGCATGGGGCTAGACACGCAGGAAGGCCAGGGGCTACAGTGACAGTGTGAACAATGGAGAACAGGGAGCAGTGGAAAGCAGAGTTAGCTGACACATTAGAAAGTGGTTGTAAAAGTGGGATGGGTCTTAAGAAATGCTGACTAGTAACAACAAGAAAATCCAGAACAGACTGGTCACGCTGGCTGGACGTAAAACAGAGGTGTATCTACATGCGATCATCCCGACTAGGACATTAGGCATTCTCACCCCTGCTTTGTCTTTGGGCTGAAACTCCTCCCCTCTGCCTGCTGGGTGATTAATCCTAGACCACTGCTGCTGTGCCTGTGCCAGTACACCACCTCTGGTCTTGCTTTAATCTCATTTTGGATAAACTGAACAGATGGAGATCTTGAGGACATTCAACTCCTTCCTGTGCCTGTTTTCCGAGTTCTCTCTGCTTTTCAAAAGCAAACACAGCAATGGGGTACAGCCTTCCCAGGGTGCAGAACCTTCCCTTTTCCTCCTCGTTCTCCTTATCATTCTCTTCCATCGGAGAACTGCTGTTGGTTGCTCTTTGCACTGTCCCTTCCTCACTTTGATTACAAGGCATTGATTTGCAGGATATGGGCTACCTGTGTTCAGGCACAACCAGCAGTTTGTGAGCCTGAACGTGAAAGTCCGTCACTGCTGTATGAAAACAGAAACAAACTTTGCCCGGAAAGTGCCCAGGCTCCCACAGGGCCCAGCCTCCTCCAAACGATGGCATGCTCTCTGTCCCAAGGGATTTCGCACCCTGTGCGCATCTGGAGAAAAGCAGCTGCATTTGCTCTCCCAGAAGGCGGGAAGCTGGAAGCAGTGGCCCGGGCAGTGACAGGGGATGTCCGCTCGGGCCACCCAGCCCCAGCGGAGAGGACGTCTGTTTGCTGCCACACGCCGGGGTGCCCGTCTGCTCCCAGGACAGCTTCACGGTGTCCCAGCCTCCGCCCCGGTGTGGCTGGCTGCAGGCCCGGCTGCCGGTGCCTGCAAGGCTTTTTCCCCCAGAGACCAGGGGCTGCGCACCCGGGCTGAGTCCGCAGCCCCCAACCCTGGGCACCACCGAGGGGGATTCTGAGGGAAGCCCCTGTAGCTGACCGCAGCACGAGGGGGCAGGCCCGGGTCCCATGGGGCCGGCGGCACCGGGCACGGCGGCGGCGAGGGACCGGCGGCGGCGCGGACTACAACTCCCGGCATGCCCCGCGGCGGGGGGCGGGTCGCGTGGCTGCCCGCGCCTGTCGGGCTCCGTCGGTGGCGGAGCTGCGGGCCCTGCCCGGCCGGTGCTGGGGCTGCGGGTTCCGCCGGGGTCTCGCATCGCTGCCGCCGCATCGCATCGCTGCCGCCGCATCGCATCGCTGCCGGGCTCGAACACGGACCCGTAGTAGCCCACGTAGTGGCCCTGTAGCCCATGCTGACCGCGCGTGTCGGCGGGGCCTCGCCGGGCGGCAGCGCCATGGGGCCGTGGGGCCGGGGCCTGCCGTGGGCTCTGGTGCTGCTCGCCTTGCGCGGAGCGGCCGGCGCCCGCCCCAGCTTCGTCCTGTTGCTGGCGGATGACCTGGGCTTCGGAGACCTGGGCAGCTACGGGCATCCTTCTTCGGCCACGCCCAGCCTGGACCGGATGGCTTCCCGAGGGCTGCGGTTCACCGACTTCTACAGCAGCTCCCCGGTGTGCAGCCCGTCCCGGTACGTCCGCTGCTGCTCCTGCCGCTCTGCCTGGTGGCTGCTGCAGGGCCCCGCGGCAGGTTTGGAGGAAGCACGGCTCGGCACCCAGCTGGGGAGCTGCAGCACTGGGAGGAACGGGTGGTTGACAAACCTGCCGTGTGCCAGGAGGCCCCGGGGTCCAACTGCTCTGTGAGGGGACTGATGGAGCTTCCCAGCAGGCCGGGGAGGCGACAGTGGCAGCTGTGAGGCCGGCGAGCCAAGCTGCCAGGTGCCAGAGAACGGGGCACTCTCTGTGGAGGCTGAGCACCGCGACCTGCGCTGCACCCAGTGTGATGCCTGCCTTCTCTCCCTTTCACCTGTAGGGCAGCCCTGCTGACAGGCCGGTTCCAGATGCGCTCCGGGGTTTACCCTGGTGTGTTCAGCCCAGACTCACGGGGAGGCCTGCCGCTGTCTGAGGTCACCATTGCTGAAGTGCTGAAGGCTGAGGGCTATGCCACAGCCATGGTTGGCAAGTGGCACCTTGGCCTGGGGATTAACGGCTCCCTTCTGCCCATTCATCAGGGCTTTGACCACTTCTTGGGTGTGCCCTACTCTCATGACCAGGTGAGAGGCCTGTCAAGCCGCCAAGGGTGTCTTGGGGATGGCTGGGGGAGTGCCTGAAAGATGAAGCTTGCTTGAGAGCACACAGGCTCTCAAGTTCTTGCCGGAGCAGATGGGTGCGGGTGACTGCAGGCCGGGGAGAGGGGTGCTGGTGGGGAAAGCCCATCTCTGAGATGCTTGGCTGGTGGGGCAGTTTTGTACAACATAGGTGGTAGTTGCGTGAGGGTACATACACCCTTTGTCAAGGGAGGAAGGGTCAGCTTCTGGGCTACAAAGAAACATCTGAGTTGCTGTCAGGAGAAAATTATGTTGGGGCAGCATGGTCCTTGGACGATTCTAGGGTGGGCACAGACCCCTTTGCTTCTGGGAGTGGTTGCCCAAAGGGTGCCCGTGGGACCTGGTAGTGGGCCACTGTGAGACTCTTTGCTCCCTTCCCCTCACCGTCCTGCAACGTAGGTAGAAGACAAAGTGTTATTTGTTCTCTCCAGGGCCCTTGCCAGAATCTCACCTGCTTCCCACCTGACGTCAAGTGTTTTGGGACTTGTGACCAAGGCTTGGTGCCAGTCCCACTGCTCTGGAACCAGAGCATTGTGCAGCAGCCAGTCTCTTTCCCTGATCTGGTGCCACTCTACAACAAATTCTCCCGAGACTTCATTGCTGACTGTGCCCGACGAGGCCTCCCCTTCCTGCTCTACTATGCTTCCCACGTAGGAGAGGGAGAGGGCTGCTCTGGGCCCAAGGGTGGGGAAGGGAGCCTTTGTCCTGTGGGGAGAGCAGAGAAGCATCTCAGCTCCTGCAGCCCCAGGGCTGTGCTGAGCAGTCGATACCTGCTTTTGGATGATCTGGGGTTGCTGTTCCCATGCTCAGGTCTTGCATGGCTTTGATAATGTTCTTGGGCTGCTTCTTTCTGGAGTTTTGCCTGCTTCTTTGGGCCAGGAGCCCACCTGGGAAAACTTCCTGCTCTGGGGCTCCGTGTCCTCTCCTGGGGCTCAGCTCCTTTGTGCCATTTCTGAGAGATGCTTCCAAAGCTTGGGGAGAAGCCTCCTCTCATCTCATGGCTATTGTCACATTTCTCTGTGTCCAGGCTGGGGTGCTTACTGTCCCCGGGTGAACTGGGAACCAGATGCAGCTCTAGGAGTTTGCACAGCCGTCTTCTCTACCCTTTCTCCAGCATACACACTACCCTCAATTTGCAAGCCAGGAGTATGCAGGGCAGTCACGGCGTGGGCCGTTTGGTGATGCGCTCTTGGAGTTTGACGGCTCAGTGGGACAGCTGCTGCAGACACTGCAGGAAAATGGTCTTGCAAACACGACCTTGGTGTTTTTCACCTCTGACAATGGGTGAGTAGGCTCAGCAGCAGGGATTTTGTCACTAATAAGATTCGGCTGCCATGGTATGGGGGAACTGGAATGAGGCATTGGTTGTCTGGAACAAAAGGGATGTGGTGTGGCATTGCCAGGTGAGACCCCGGTGACCTGAAGTAAGGCAAGAGGTGGGTGCTGCTCTGGAGAGGACCCAGTGCAGTCCTTGTTCCTGTGATTCAGCAATGCCCTTCCTTGTGGGCAGAAACTTCACAGGGTTCAGTCCAGGAGCGTGCAGCAGCCCAAATATACCCCGGTTCCCTTTGTGTGAGTGGCATTGGTCTGGTGCCCTGCTTAAGAGTCTCACACACCTTGGCTTCTTTACCTGCCCCGTGTCTCCTGCCTTATGAGGCTGAAAAGGATGGCGGTGTCACTAGCTGGCACCATGTCTCACTTGTCATGGCCCCACTGGCAGCATCAGGGAAGGGGTAGTGTGAGCCTGTGAAACCGAGGGTAGGTGGTTCTCTCTTGCAGCCCATCCACCTTGCGGATGGCACGTGGAGGCAGTTCTGGCCTTCTGAAGTGTGGGAAGGGCACAACATACGAAGGTGGCATGCGGGAACCAGCAGTGGCTTATTGGCCAGGCCATATCACTCCAGGTAAGACTTGGCACTGCTTGTGCCTTTTGCATGCTGATGCCAGCCAAGGCAGGGTGTCATGGCAGCTTGGCTGCCCAGGAACAAGCAGAGGACTGGAGAGAGGTGAGGACGGCGGGATTGAAGTGGGATCAGGTGCTTGAACCTTTTCTTGTGCCTTGCTGTGGTGGGTGACAGGAGTGACACATGAACTGGCAAGCACCCTGGACATCCTGCCAACACTGGCTACCCTGGCTGGAGCAGCTCTTCCCAAAGTTGCCCTGGATGGCTATGACCTGAGTCCAGTGCTGTTTGGGTCAGGGAAGGTGAGTCCTGCGGGCTGGTTCAGCTGGCATTGTGCATGAAAGCTGGGTGTGGGGCTGAAGCTGTGTGCCTGATGAGTACAACCAGCTGGGGGTCAGGGGAGATCCATGAGCTGGGACCTTTTGTCTGGCCTGGGTCATGCCATGGAATTCCTCGGCTTCCCCAGGCTGCTCTGCTCTGACAACTGCAACATATTGC